TCCCAGTATTTTATCTTTTAGGTCACTTGTCTGTTTTTCTGACTCATTTAGTCTGCTATTGATTCTGTCTAGAGAAGTTTTAATTGCATTTATTGTGTTCATCATTGTTTGTTTGCTCTTTAGTTCTTCTAGCTTCTTGTGAAACGTTTTTTGTATTTTCTCCATTCTGTTCCCAAGAATTTGGATCATCTTTACTATCATTACTCTGAATTCTTTTTCAGGTAGACTTCTTATTTCCCTTTAATTTTTTTGGTCTGGTGGGTTTTTACATTGCTTTTTCATCTGCTGTGTGTGTTTCTGTGTCTTCTCATTTTGCTTTTCTTACTGTGTTCGGGATCTCCTTTTTGCAGACTGCCGTTTCATAGTTCCTGTTGTTTTTGATGTCTGCCTCCCATGGCTAAGGTTGGTTGCTGGGTTGGGTAGGCTTCCTGGTGGAGGGGACTGGTGCCTCTGTTCTGGTGGTTGAGGTTGTATCTTGTCTTTCTGGTGGGCAGGACCACATCCGGTGGTGTGTTTTGGGGTGTCTGTGACCTTATTATGATTTTAGACAGTCTCTCTGCTAATGGGTGGGGCTGTGTTCCTGTCTTGCTAGTTGTTTTGCATAGGGTATCCAGCAGTGTAGCTTTCTGGTTGCTGAGTGGAGCTGGGTCTTAGCATTGAGATAGAGATCTCTGGGAGAACTTTTGACATTTGATATTACGTGGAGCTGGGAGGTCTCTGGTGGACCAATATCCTGAACTCGGCTCTGCCACCTCAGAGGCACAGGCCTGACACCTGGCTGGGGCACCAAGACCCTGTCAACCACACGGCTCAGAAGAAAAGGCAGAAAAAACACAAAGAAAGAATGAAAAAATAAAATAAAGTTATTAAAATAAGAAATAGAAGAATTATTATTGAAAATAAAAAAAATTTTAAAAGTAATAAAAAAATAAAAAAGAAAGAAGAGAGCAACCAAACCAAAAAAGAAATCCACCAATGATAACAAGCACTAAAAACTATACAAAATGATAAAAAAACAGACAGGCGGAACCCTAGGACAAATGGTAAAAGTGAAGCTATACACACAAAATCACACAAAGAAGCATACACATACATGGGCACAAAAAAGAGAAAAAGGAAAAAATATGTAGTATAAAAAGAAAAGAAAAAAGCAACCCAATCAATAAATCTACCAGTGGTAATAACCTATATATACTAAACAAAAATAAACTTAAAACCAAAAACAAATTAGATGCATAAAGCAAACCCCAAGTCTACAGTTCCTACCAGAATCCACTGCCTCAATTTTGGGATGATTTGTTGTCTATTCAGGTATTCCAGAGATGCAGGGTACATCAAGTTGATTGTGGAGATTTAATCCGCTGCTCCTGAGGCTGCTGGGAGATATTTCCCTTTCTCTTTGTTCGCACAGCTCCTTGGGTTTAGCTTTGGATTTGGCCCTGCTTCTGTGTGTAGGTCACCTGAGGTCTCTGTTCCCCACCCAGACAGGACGGGGTTAAAGTAGCAGCTGATTAGAGGACTCTGGCTCACTCAGGTCGGGGGGAGGGAGGAATATGGAATGCAGGACGAGCCTGAGGCGCAGGGGCAGGCATGACATTGCACCAGCCTGAGGTGTGCCGTGGTGTTCTCCCGGGGAAGTTGTCCCTGGATCATGGGACCCTGGCAGTGGCGGGCTGCAGAGGCTCCCGGTAGGGGAGGTATGGATAGTGACCTGTGCTTGCACACAGGATTCTTGGTGGCTGCAGCAGCAGCCTTAGCATCTCATGCCGTTCTCTGGTGTCTGTGCTTGTAGCCGTGGCTCATGCCCGTCTCTGGACCTCGTTTAGGCTGTGTTCTGAATCCCCTCTCCTTGTGCACCCCGAAACAATGGTCTCTGCCTCTTAGGCAGTTCCAGAGTTTTTCCCAGACTCCCTCCCAGCTAGCTGTGGCGCACTAGCCCCCTGCAGGCTGTGTTCACACAGCCAACCCTAGTCTTCTCCCTGGGATCTCACCTCTGAAGCCCCAGCCTCAGCTCCCAGCCCCCAACCGCCCTGGCAGGTGAGCAGACCAGCCTCTCAGGCTGGTGAGTGCTGGTCGGCACCGATCCTCTGTACAGGAATCTCTCCGCTTTGCCCTCCGCACCCCTGTTGCTGTGCTCTCGTCCGTGGCTATGAAGCTTCTCCCCTGCCCCCATCTCCGCCAATGAAGGGGCTTCCTCATGTGGTGAAAGGTTCCCTCCTTCACAGCTTCCTCCCAGAGGTGCAGGTCCTGTCCCTATTCTTTTGTGTCTGTGTTTTCTTTTTTCTTTTCCCCTACCCAGGTACTTGGGAGTTTCTCACCTTTTGGGAAGTCTGAGGTCTTCTGCCAGCAATTCAGTAGGTGTTCTGTAGGAGTTGTTCCACATGTAGGTGTATTTTTGATGTATTTGTGGGGAGGAAGGTGATCTCCACCTCTCACTCCTTTGCCATCTTGAAGGTCCCTCTCCTGATATTTAAATCAAGCAATTAACATTGATACAGTACTATTTAATCTATAGAAATTATTTAAATTTTTCTGTGTTCTACTAATGTCTTTAATTTTTTTGAAACCAACCTTTTTATTTTGAGATAGTTGTAGATTCACATGCAGCTGTAAATAATAATTCAGCGAGATATTGTATATTCTCTATCTACTTTCCTTCAGTTGTAACATCTTGCAAAACTAAAGTACAATATCACAATCCCCAATTGACCTTGATCTAATCAAGGTGTAGAAGAGTTCCATCACTGCAAGCATCCCTAGTGTTGCTCTTTTATAGTCATGTCCACTTTTCTCTCTCTATTCCACTCCCTCTAATCCCTAACCATAGAAACCACTAATTTCTTTTCCAGCTGTATAATATTGTCATTTCAAGATTGTTATTTAAATGGAATCATACAGTATTTAACTTTGGAGTTGACTTTTGTACTCAGCATCATTCCCTTAAGATTCATCCAAGCTGTTGCATGGGTCAATAGTTATTTTTCTTCCTAAGTAGTTGTTAATCCTTTTTTAAATATTTGGTAGAATTCTCCAAAGACCATCTGGGCCAGAAGATTTCTTTTTTGGGGGCTTTTAAATTACAAATTTAATCTTTTTAATGATTATAGGGCTATTCAGATTATTTCATCTTAATTGAGTTTTGGTTGTGTTTTTTGAACTTGTTAAGTTTATGAGTATAAAGTTGTTCATAACATTCCATTGTTATACTTTTAATAACTGTATGATCTATGATGAGTTCCTCTATTCCAGTGTTTTGGACATTTGTTATTTGTATCTTTTGCCTTTTTATTTTTGTCAGTCTTGCTAGGTAGAATTTTATCAATTTTACTGACTTTTTAAAAAAATGAACTACCTTTTTGTTTTGTGATTTTCTGAATTGTTTTCTTATTTTCAATTTCATTGATTTCTGCTTTTATCTGTATTATTTCTTTTATTCTTCCTCCAGCTTTGAGTTTCTTGTGCTCCTTTTTGAGTTATAAACTTAAATTATTAATTTGAGACATTTCTTCTTTTGTAATATAAGCATATAGTGCTATAAATAGCCCTCTCAACACTGCTTTAGCTGCATACCCCATATCTTGATATATTATACTTTCATTTTCGTTCAATTCTATGTATTTTTATTTTTATTTTCTTTGAGACTTGCTCTTTGACCTTTGGATTATTTACAAGTGTGTTGTTTAATTTCCATGTGTTTAAGAGATTTTCCTGTTGTCTTTGTGGTACTGATTTCTAGTTTGATTTGATTATGGTAAAAGAATACATTACCTTTTGTTTCCAGGTTAGGGGTCAGACATGAGTCACCTTCTGTTCAGTAGGGAATGGTAAAATGTCCTACCACTATGCTCTTCCTTTCATCCTGGTATCTTGAACTATTAGTTTACATTCCTATTTCCCCCTTTCAGAGTTCTGCTTTTATTGTGCCTTGCGTTATTTCCATGGTTTATAGTTGTTCTTAGGGAAGAGGACGGGGAGAGTTAAGTCTACTCCATCTAGTCTCAATTGGATGTCTCATCATAAAAGTTTGCTTTCCAGTTGCAATATTGAAATTACCTTGAAATTGAAATTTTTATGTGGAGTGTAGTAGGAATCCAGTTTCACTCGGTTTCGCTCAGATAATTGCCTATTTCAGCACAATTTGTTATATGGTTCTTCTTTTTCCCAATGGTCTGCAAGTACCAGCTCTGTCATTTAACTGGTTTCTGTGTATACACTGGTTTGCTTTTGGACTCTTTTATGTTCCATTCGTGAATTTGTTTACTTCCTTGTCAGAACCATATTTTTTAAAATAAATTTGACATGTAACATTGTGTAAGTTTAAGGTAGACAAAGTGTTACTTGTGTTACTTTGATACATTTATATATTATAAGCTGATTGTCAGTATAATGATATTTATCACATTACATTATTATAGTACAATATTATTGTCTATATTCATTATACTGTACATTAGATCTCTATGGCTATTTACTACTCATTACAAGTTTGTATTCTCAACACCATTACTTTCACTCCACCCTCCATCCCCTGGTAACCACCAGTTTACTCCCTTTTTCAAAAAAGTTTTAACTTGTTTAGCTCCCACCTATAAGTGATATCATACAATACACTGTACTTTTAAATTATTATAGGTTTTAATAAGTTTGGGTATATCTTAGGGCGATTGCCTCAACCTTACTCTTGTTCTTCAGAAGTGTATTGCTATTCTGTAGTTCTCCATAAATTTGAGACTTTTATTAGCATAGCTTTGGTTTTATAGATTGATGTAGAGATAACTGACATGATATTGAGTGTTTCAAAGCATGAATGGACATGGTTTATCTCCCCATATATTTGGTTTTTAAAAAAGTGTCTTTCAAAACATTTTTATACTTTTTTCCATACAGATCTTATACATGTTTTTGTTAAATATAATTATAAGTACCTAATAATTTTTGCTATTGTAAATGATATTTACAAGTAGTTAAAATAAATAACTTTTTCCTTCACTGGCCTTGAGGCCTCCAACAGAAATCAAGAGGGTGCCTGTGAGCTCAGTGCAAGATCAGCCCTCTGTCCAACTCCATGCCTCCATCATCAGGAGTGGAGAGGGAACTCTCAAACTTGGAATAAGATCACACCTCTTCAGGACATCTTTGGCAGGAGACAACAGAGTGCCCAAGCACTCAGAGTAAGACCACCCATCTACAGGACATCATACCTCTGTCAGCGGGAGCCAAAGGGGAGATTCTGAGCAACACCTGTTTCTGGCCTCTTCTCCCCCAGACCTCTTTCTTCAACACCCATACCCTTTATCCTGTACTTTTTAGTCTTCATAAGGAGCCTAGGGCTCCCAGTTCATCATATATTCCAGAGCTCTAATCCTCCCTAAGGCTCCTTATGTCACTTTTTCTGACCCAATCTCTTCTTCTCCTTTCCTGACTCTCAAATCTTTTTCTGTGTACCCTCTGGAACTTAAGATCATTGATTAGCAAAATCCTCTATATTTTTAACTTGTACTGTGAATGTTCCCTTCACCTTCTGTGCTAATGGAAATTTAGCTTTTCTCTGCTTATAGTTTCTCCTGCAGCCAGGCAGGTTCTCTTGGGGAAAAAAAGCCTTGATTTGTAGTATCTTTCAGGTTCTGTGCTATAAATACTCATGCCACAGCTGTTCAAGCTACCATCTTACTTCATCAAATGTGGAGTTGAGAAGTGACATCCATAACCAGCTCTCCTGAGATACCTCCGGTCTGCCTTGACCTGTAGCAGTCTCAAGGGTGATTTCTCTCTACTCCCCACTCAACCATAGCATTGGATCTGTAGGTGAGATAAATGTCTCCTTTGCTTCTCGTTGCTGTTTTCAGTCCCTTCTTCTGCCCTCATTCATGAATACACCTTGCCTTGAATCTCATATCATCATGTTATCCTACTCAATAATAACTCTTTATTACAGGTACTTCTCAGATCATTTTTTTTGTAAAATAAAAAAAATTAATCACTGTGACATTGTCACTTTTGTAAAAAGATTACTGCCATAATTTTATTTAGATATTCGCATGGATGATCCTCTAACACTCTGGAATTTCATTTCCTCGATAGCCTCTTCTTTAAGTGATCCTGTTCTCCATCCATTCTCAGCCACTCACTTTTGGTCATTCCTTAGGCCTTGCTATTACCAATAACTGCCATAAATTTTCATTTTCTTTGCTGTTTGCTCCTTATCTCCCCAACCTCTCTGTATGTTGAGGTTTTCCAGGGATCAATTCTGGGGCCTCTTCTCTTTGGTGTCATCACTCCCTATGTGATCTCAACCAGTCTCGTGGCTTTAAATTACCTATATGTTAGTGACTCATTAAGTTATATCTTCAACTGAGCTCTCTTTCCTGTCCTCTAACTTTATGTATCCAACTCAGCTGCATACTTGTCCTCCGCAGTTAGATATCAAGTCCGCATTAAAGCTCTATCTCCTGCAGTTTTCTCCATCTTAATTAATGGAAGTTCTGTCCTTCCACTTCCTTAGCCAAATACCTCTGGAGTTATCCTTGAGTCATTTCTCTCTTAGACATTTCGCATCAGATATGAAAAGAAATTATTTCGGTTCTATCTTTGAAACATATCCACACTTCCATCTTTTTTTTTTACCACCAGCAGTGTTGCTCTGTCTTTCTTCCCCATTGTCTCTAGCCTGGATTACTGCAATAGCTTCCTAACTGATCTTTCTGTTTTTTTCTTTCCTTTGCTTCAGTCTTCTTTGAAAACAGCAGCCAGAGCGATCCTCTTAAAACATAAATCTATCCATAATGTTTCTCGGTTGAAAACTTTCTAGTGGCTTCCTATCTTTTTCAACTATAGGAAAGTCATTATAGCCTCTGAGGCCCTACACAATCTGGCCCCTTTGTAACCTCTCTGACCTCATCTACAGCTACTGGCCCATCTTTTACTCAATTGCAGCCACACTAGCCTCCTTCCCATTTGTAGAACACTCTAGTCAGGCCCTGCCTCCAGGCTTTTGCATTTGAGGTTTCTTCTGCCTGAGCTGTCTTCCTTCAGATATTTGAAAGGCTCATCCCTTCACTTCCTTTAAAGTTTTAGTTAAATGTCTCCTTTTAGAGAGATCTTCTAAAGCTGCCCAATCTAAATTTTAATGCTGCCCCTCTTTCCCTTTTCCTTCCTGGATCTCTTTCCTGCTTTTGTTTTGTTTTTTTCTCCTTACACATCTTACATATCTTTCTCTTACATTCTGTGTTGTACTTTTTAACTTGTTTATTGCATCTCTTCCCCACTAGAATGTAAGCTCCACAAGAGCAGGTATATTTATCTGCTTTATTCACTACTGTATTCTCAGTGCCAAAAACATGACTGGCCAATATTAAGTACTCCACAAATATTTGTGTTTAAATGAATGAATAACTGAGAAATATGTGTTCTGTTTGTTGCTGTTACATAGAAATGAAATTGATTACTCTAAGTTGATCTTAAATATAATGACCTTGCTAAACTCTCCATTGCAAGAGGTTTCTTTAAAAAAATTTCCTTGCAAATAATTATATCATCTATAAACAATGATAGTTGTGATTTTCCTTTTCTGATCCTGGAAAATTTTATGTATATTTCTTATTTTTGTGCATTGTTTAGGACCTCTAGAGAATGGTTAAATTGAAGAAATTGGAACAGGCATTCTTATCCTTTTTTTTATTTTAGAAGGAATGCTTCTTATGTTTCAGCACAAGAGATGATATTTGTTATGTCTTTGGTAGATATTCCTTATTAAGTTAAAAATGTTTACTTCTATATTTGCTAAGTTTATTTGTTTTTTATCATGAGTTAGTGTTAATTTTTTAATCATAAATGAATGATAAGTTTTTTGTCATGTTTAAGTGTTAATTTTTATTTTATCATGAGTGAATATTGAATTTTCTGCCTCTGAGATGATTTTCTCCATTAACATTTTAATGTGGTAAATGACATAATGGACTTCCTAATGTAACATTCTATTTCATTCTTGGGATGAAACTAACTCATTCATCATGTGTTATATGATGTATATATCACTGGATCTAGTTCACTGTTTTTTCTTAGGATGCTTACTTCTATTTTTTGAATAAAACTGGCCTTTAATTTTCCTTTTTAGTCACTGTCTTTTTATAATTTTGGTATCATTACATGAGTTGCCGAATATTCCCTCTTTTTCTCTTCTTTGAGTTTTTATATCTACCCTTAAATGTATGGGTAGAAGTCTTAGATGAAACTAATCGGAGCTACTATGTATTTATGGAAATATTTTATACTGTGGATTCAGGTTTTTAATTTTTTTTTCAAGTCTTTTTTGAGTTTGTTACAGTATTGTTTTTTGTTTTTTTTACATCTTTATTGCAGTATAATTGCTTTACAATGTTGTGTTAGTTTCTGTTTTACAACAAAGTGAATCAGCTATATGTATACATATATCCCCATATACCCTCCCTCTTGGGCCTCCCTCCCAGCCTCTCTATCCCACCCCTCTAGGTTGTCGCAAAGCACTGAGCTGATCTCCCGGTGCAATGCTGCTGCTTCCCACTAGCTATCTATTTTACATTTGGTAGTGTATATATGTCAGTGATACTCTCACTTTGTCAGAGCTTACCCTTCCCCCTCCCCCGTGTCCTCAAGTCCATTCTCTATGTCTGTATCTTTATTCCTGCCCTGCCACTAGGTTCATCAGTATCATTTTTTTTAGATTCCTTATGTATGTGTTAGCATACGGTATTTGTTTTTCTCTTTCTGACTTACTTCACTCTGTATGACAGACTCTAGGTCCATCTACCTCACTACAAATAACTCAATTTCGTTTCTTTCTTTGACTGAGTAATATTCCATGTATATATGTCCCACATCTTCTTTATCCATTCATCTGTCGATGGACATTTAGGTTGCTTCCACGTCCTGGTTATTGTAAATAGTGCTGCAATGAACATTGTGGTACATGTCTCTTTTTGAATTATGGTTTTCTCAGGGTATATGCCCGGTAGTGGGATTGCTGGGTCATATGGTAGTTCTATTTTTAGTTTTTTAAGGAACCTCCATAGTGTTCCCCATAGTGGCTGTAACAATTTACATTCTCACCAACAGTGCAAGAGGGTTCCCTTTTCCCCACATCCTCTCCAGCATTTATTGTTTCTAGATTTTTTGATGATGACCATTCTGACTGGTATGAGGTGATACCTCATTATAGTTCTGATTTGCATTTCTCTAATAATTAGTGATATTGAACATCTTTTCATGTGCTTCTTGGTGATCTGTATGTCTTCTTTGGTGAAATGTCTATTTAGGTCTTCTGCCCATTTTTTAATTGGGTTGTTTGTTTTTTAGATATTGAGCTCCATGGGCTGTTTGTATATTTTGGAGTTTAATCCTTTGTCTGTTGTTTCATTTGCAAATATTTTCTCCCATTCTGAGGGTTGTCTTTTTGTCTTGTTTATGGTTTCCTTTGCTGTGCAAAAGCTTTTAAGTTTCATTAGGTTTCAGTTGTTTATTTTCATTAGGTTTCAGTTGTTTACTCTAGGAGGTGGGTCAAAAAAGATCTTGCTGTGGCTTATGTCAAAGAGTGTTCTCCCTATGTCTTCCTCTAAGAGTTTTATAGTGTCTGGTCTTACATTTAGGTGATTAATTCATTTGGAGTTTGTTTCTGTGTATGGTGTTAGGTAGTGTTCTAATTTTATTCTTTTACTTGTAGCTCTCCAGATTTCCCAGCACCACTTATTGAAGAGGCTGTCTTTTCTCCATTGTATATTTTTGCCTCCTTTGTCATAAATTACGTGACCATATGTAAGTGGGTTTATCTCTGGGCTTTCTATCCTGTACTATTGATCTATATTTCTGTCTTTGTGCCAGTACCATACTGTCTTGATTACTGTAGCTGTTTAGTATAGTTTGACATCGGGGAACCTGATTCCTCCAGCTCAGTTTTTCTTTCTCAAGTTTGCTTTGGCTATTTGGGGTCGTTTGTGTTTCCATACAAATTGTAAGATGTTTTGTTCTAATTCTGTGAAGAACGCCATTGGTAGTTTGATAGGGATTGCATTGAATATGTAGATTGCTTTGGACTTCAGTTTTATGTTTTAGTTTATTGTCCCCAAAGCATGTGGGATCTTAGCTCCCCAATCAGGGATCAAACCCTCACCCCCTGCATTGGAAGGTGAAGACTTAACCACTGGACCGCCTAGGAAGCCCCTGGATTTTTTAATATAATAGAATTCTAGCAGTTATCTCTTCTTGAATCAATTTTGGTAAATTATAAAATAATATATTTACATGAATATAACCATTTTGTCTAAGTTTTGAATTTACCAGCATAAAGGTATTTGTTACATTTTTTATTTTTTGTCTCTAATAAGTCCATAGTTATATTCTCTTTTTATATTTGATATCTATTTCCTCCCTTCTTAAAATTCCCCCCTCCCAGACTCTCCCGCATCTCCCATCTGTCTTCTTGGAGATTTATGAATTTTATTGGTATTTTCAAATATCCAACTTTTGAGTTTTATGATTCTCTATTATATGCCCATTTTTTCCATTACTTTTGCTTTCATTGTTATGATTTCCTTATGACTACATTCTTTGGGTTTATTCTTTTTTTTTTCCCACTTCTTAATTAGGATACATAGCTTATTAATTTTTGGCCTTTCCACTATTCTAAATATTTAATATTATAAATTTCCTCCTAAATACTACTATAACTGTATACTGCAGGTGTTTATATGTAGCAATTTAATTTTTGCTCAGTCTTAAGTATTCTAAGATTTCCATTATGATTTCTTCTTTGTCCCATGGTTATTTTAGAGGGCATTTTCAGATTTACATATGCATGATTTGGGGGTTATCTTTTTTTTTTTGGTTATTATATATTTCTAGTTAAAATAAATCATGGGGCTTCCCTAGTGGTGCAGTGGTTGAGAGTCCGCCTGCTGATGCAGGGGACATGGGTTCGTGTCCCGCTCTGGGAAGATCCCACATACCGCGGAGCGGCTAGGCCTGTAAGCCATGGCCGCTGAGCCTGCGCGTCCGGAGCCTGTGCTCTGCCACGGGAGAGGCCACAACAGTGAGAGGCCCGCGTACCACAAAAGAAAAAAAAAAAATCATGGTCAGAGCACATAAGCTGTATAAAACCAATTCTTAAAATATGTTGGGAGTTGTTGTGGTAGAGATTGCTAGTTCTCCACTGAAACATATTTTCTTTATTCCATGGTTTTCATGATCTAGCTAGCCATGTAGTTAGACCTTATATTTCTCAGTTTCCTTCACACCTATATGTGACCATAACAATAAATTTTGCCAATAGAATATGCACTTACTTGGTGTGTGCCTATGAAATTATTTTTTGGAAATACTTACACTTTGCCCTTATTTTCAAGGGAGGATGCTACTTTGATCATTAATGCAGAGCTTGATTATGTACTTATGTATGTTTTGGCCAATCATAACTTGATCCCCTGACACAGCAGAGGATTGGATGCGCTTGCACATTTTGGTTTGCTCTCCTGTACCTCTGCCATGGAATGAGAAGAGCATGTCTCAGCTAGCCTCTGGTTTAGTGAAAGACATGAGAATCAGTGCTGCCATAACTGGGCCCAGTCCATATCAGTTCATCTCCAGCTGACCCACAGTACATGAGCCAGATAAATCTTCTTGTTATGTACCACTGAGATATTATGGTTGCTTATTATATGACACTGATACAAGTGCCACTTCCATGGTCTGGTTCTTAAAGTAGCATCAGGTTCGAACTGCTTTATACTCATTTATCTTCAATTTATATGGATCAAGGAAGTGCCTGTAACCTATCTTTGACCATGCACACAGACCAAGACAGTGTCCTAAATGGATGAACAAAAAAGGAAAGGAAACCTGGACCATCATGCTCAGCTGTGCATCAATTTGATCACTCACCTTGGGAGGCTTACTTGTGAGAGGATTATTTTCTATTTGTTTCAGTCCACCCTTTTAGAGATGTCTCGGTTTTAACAGCTTAACTTTTATCCAAATATTCAAGGTCTTTATCAACTAGTATATGGTCCCTTTTTATAAGTCTGTATACTTGAGAAGAATGTGTATTTTCTAATTTTGGAGTTCAGAATTTCATATATATTTAACACAGTTTGATTTTCATAGATTCAGACCTTCTGTATCTGTATTATATTTTGGTCAATATCAGTACTTGAGTAAGTTGATGGATTTTCTAGTCTTTTCCTACAATTTAATCCATTTTTTCATTACACATTTTTAAGCTATTTTATTAGATGCTTATAAGTTTAGAATTGTTATATCAACTAGATGAATTGAAGCATCATTTGTAGTAATCTTTTCTATTTCTTTTTTCTTTTTAAAATTTTTATAAATTTTAAACCAACTTTAATAATCAATACTGTCCTTTTAATTTTCTTTCAATGTTTTTATACACACATATACAGTATATATTTAAGAGAATATTGGAATGACTTTATGTACATTTTTTCAAGTAAAGGTGCTAATATATATTTTTACACATTTTTATCTACTTTTGTACATTTATTTTTCTTCTAACAACATATAAGCATTTCTGATGACAATATATATTTTTCAGACACTCTAGATATGATGTCCTTATAATACTTCATTATTTGTATATTACATAATGATTTTACCTCCTTACGTGTACTTAGTTTGGTTATTTCCATTATTTTATTGTTTTAAATATTTCCACGAGGTAAATCCTTACATGTAAAAGCTGTATTCATATCTCTGATTTTTTTTAGGATAAAACTCAAGAATTGGCATTGTTGGGTCAAAGATTACAAAAAAGTGTTTATTCTGGACTTTGTTTTGAAAGTGAAATATAAAGAAATTCCTTTTAAAATCTGCTGCTCTCATTCATTTTTATTTTACACACTTTCTAATTTACCTCAAACTTCTCTGTTTCTAGTAATGCTTTGCTTTGTGGTCTGTTTTTTTATGAAATAGCTACTTCATTTTTCTTTGATTAGTATTTGCCTGGTACATTTTTAAAAATCTCTTTATTTTTAACATTTCTCTGTATATTTTTTATTTCTTTAAACATTCCTACAGTTCTGCTTCCATATCTTATGGATGACCTACAGTTTAGTCTCCAGATTGCAGTTCTCTTTTGG